TCAGTGTAAATGGCTTTATCGAGTTAGGTTCTGTGTGTTATCGTTAATCTGCTTTATTTCAAGAAAAAGATGAAGAAAAAGATCAAGAAGAGATGGCTGCAGTATAGTTTCATATTACCTCTAGCATTAGAGAACTTATGCTTCTGTATACCATTTGCTGAGGAGCATAAGATGGAGACAGCATTTCATCTAATCCAATATGATTTTTCTTATGTTTTTAAATTTTTAGTAGCTGTGGAGGTAATTAATGACTCCAAGAATATGGCTTTTGGTGATCCCTGACTGGCTGGGACCACATAATTTAGTCATCCAAGAAGAAGACCCAGAACAATAAAGTGTGGATGGTACCATGGTGAATCAGAAAAGTATTGTTCCAAATAGGAATTAAAACTATATCATCACAAATAAATAAATAATAAATGAAACAATCATATTGTTTTCTACTAAATATTTCAGGTCCCCATCACTCCATTAATTCCCCCCCCACACACACACACATGGAGAGATTTGTCTGTAGCTGGAACATATAATCAAGCTAAATCATGAAGTAATTGCAGCATTCCTTGGACAGTCAGTATTTATGGACCAATTCTTGTTCTTTTTATTTTCATTGTTCTGATATAATATGCTCAGAATAAGTGAGACTTTAAAGACATTCCTCAGAGCATAGCTAATTTTAGAAATGTCTGTTGACCCAACACACTTTTTGCATCACTGTGTTCTACATCTGAAGCATTGATGAAGTATGAGGTATGGCTCCAATCTTATCTTCTGAAAAGAAGTTAGAAATTAATGAAGGGTGTGGGATGAAATAGGAATTGTGTTTCCAAAATAAATGGCTCAGTGTGGCCAACCCTGGTCTTTGCATGCTGTCTCCCCTGATGTATAGGATTTTAATCAGTTCTGGTTCAGGATTAATTGATATTGTGAAGGATCAATGGTAACAGAGTGAGATCATTTTAAAGACTTGGGGGTGGGACAGAGGGGAAATTAAGTTATCAACTGCTATAGAAGACCATCAAGGAGGGAGCCAAATTATCCCTATTGAAACGTATCCAATGCCCAGGTGAAGCCTCTACACTGCAGAATTAATGCTGTTTGAAACTGCTTTAACTGCTGTGGCTCAATGCTATGGAATTCTGGGATGTGTAGTTTTGTTAGATAGACTCTAAACTGAGCCATTTACCACCCTCCAGACTTACTGCAGACTTACTGCAGAGCCACTGAAGCCCCACTTGGTCATTCCATGTTTGGTGGCAAATACAGAGCATATAGAAGCATCTGTATGTGCCCGTAGGCAGATGCAAACCAATTATGTGACCCACTGAGGTCTATTGGTGTTCTCCAGAGATTTCAGTGGCTGATGTAGTCATTTGACATCTGATTATGGGGACATAGCCAAATGTTTTTTCTGATCCCACTCCTTGCTTTCCACTAGGTTCAGAATGGTCATAGAGGAGGGCTTCAGTATTCTATAGTAGGTCTGGGAGAAGAGGGATTGGGATGCAGTAGAGAGAGAAAGGGAATACTAAACTGCACAGTAACGTAGACATACAGAGACATAAAGATAACTTACACTAGTTAAGGCACTAGTAGGATGGTCAGAAACTATATGACAGAGGATTGGACTCAGATTGGTTAGTTCCTATTAAATTGGGATCACTGAATTAATTGTTGAATGGTGAATCAGCATACAGCTGGCATCGTATTGGTGAGTTACACTTCTGTTAGTTCTCTTACAGAAGTGTTGGGCATTTTTGTCCAATGCGAAAACAAGAGATGTGCATGCAGTGCAACTGAAGAAGTGGTGCCACTGAAAATTGCACATGCAGGTGCACATTCTGCATTGCACACACAGATTGCCATTTGTATGCACATTCAGTTGTGCAGCTTGCAATTCATGAATGCACAAGAGTAAAGTTACACTCTTTCTTAGTGATGAAGGATCTCATATATAAATCCAGATGATTCAATGCCTCTCCTCTAGTCAGGAAGGATTTGGATCAGATGTGGATAAGATTGAGGAGAAAGTGCATGGGGGAGAATCCTTTCTCCATCTCTCCAAACACTAGAACCTGAAGCTTCAAAAAGTATTTAGAATAGGTTGCAACACCCAATATCATATGGATGTACTGGAAAAAAGAACACGAATAACAGAGAAGGCTGTGCATTCTTAGAAGAGAGAGGTTGCAATGATATTTGTGGTCTGGTTTGGAAGGGCTTTGCTCCAGAGCTTCAAGTATATCATGGCCAGCATGAGGGGATTCTGGGAGTTGTAGTCCAAAAAATAACATTTCCAACCTCTTCCCTTCCCCTACTTTTCAGCCTTGCCGATATGACATTGTTACCATTCTATCTATTTATTTGCCTCTTCCTTAGTGATTATTATACCAATTGATGCTTGCTTATTGATTATTATACCAATATTCCTCCCATTCAATGTAGTTGTTTTCAGGATGGCTAACAAAGTCATATCTTGAAGAGACCTAATGTAATAATTGGTATTTAATAGATCTAGTCAAATAGGTCACAGACTTAGATCTACACCAGTGGAGCTGTGCCAGATCCCATGATGATGAAACAGATTTTCATCAAAGCCTTCAACTTCACATGAAACAGATTGTTCAATAGCTCTCATGACCTTACCTATTGGACAATAACCAGTTCAGCCCCACTGTCCATCAAAAGCATGTGAGGGGGCTGTTCCTATGGCTTTGGAACTGTTGGCTGCATTAGAGCTCCATATATACATTCAATGATTTGTATGCTAGTTTACTATTCCAAGAGAATTCCAGCATATGCTTGCATCCAAACCAATATAACTGATGAAATAAGGCAGGCAAGGATATAAAACAAAGAAACAAATTTAAAAAAAAACACATAAAAGAGAGCTATTTGTTTTTTGTTTTTGCTTTTTTTAAAAAAAACACATCCTTTGCAGATTTGCAAAGATCTGAAAAATCTGGCACAATAGAAAGGTGTCCTTTGCACACTGTAACAGAGCTGACTGATAGCTCTGGAATTTCAGAGTAAGGAAACATCTGTCAATTTTATTGGTGGTTCTTCAGCTTTAATGACATCTCTGTCACAGCTATTTTATGTTGTATGGGAAGGGCAGCTATGAAAGAACTAGACATGATCCTGAAGTGTAAAAATATATAGTTGAATACTAAAGTCAGGATTGCCTATGCCATCATATTTCCCATTTCTATGTATAGTTGCCAAAGCTGGACAGTGAAGAAAGCTGATTGGAAGAAAATCAAGTCATTTGAGATGTGGTGCTAGAGAAGATTTCTGTGGATACCATGGACTGCTAAAAAGACAAATAAATAGATCCAAGACAAATAAAGCCTGAACTCTTTATAGAATCATAGACTCATAGAGTTGGAAGAGACCACAAGGGCCATCCACTGCAACTCCCCTGCCATACAGAAACTCAAAGTCAAAGCATCCCTGACAGATGGCCATCCAGCCTCTGTTTAAAGACCTCCAAGGAAGGCGACTCCACCACACTCAATGTGTTCCATTGTCAAACAGTTCTTATTGTCAGAAAGTTCTTCCTAATGTTTAGGTGGGAAGGAACCAAGATGGCTATACAGAGACTGTCATAGTTTGGTCACATCATGAGAAGATATGACTCACTAGAAAAAGCAATCATGCTTGGTAAGATAGAAGGCAGTAGCCAAAGAAGACTGCATTACAGGTGGATAGAGTCCATCAAGAAAGCCATGGTTCTGAGTCTGGAAGATCTAAGTAGGGCTGTTGATATTAGGGTGATTTGGATGTCTCTCATTCATAGAATTCAAAGATATAGTCATGTTATTCTGTAGAATCAATATCTTGTAGCACCTTTGAGACAAACAGTAAGAGCTGTTAAGTGGTGGAACACTCTACCTCAGAGTGTGATGGCATCTCCTTCCTTGGAGGTTTTTAAATAGAGAGTGGATGGCCATCTGTTCGGAGTACTTGACTGTGTATTCCTCCATGGTTGACAGGAGTTGGACTGAATGGCACATTTGGTCTCTTCCAACTCTATGATTCTATGATTCCATGACTTAACAGCAGTAAACAACAACAAATGTAAATTAACCTTATTCCCAATGTGCTTGCAGCACCTGGACAGCTCCTAGATCAGTTATAAGGGACCTGTTGTTAAAATCTGAAGATCTGTCATTAAAATTGAAAGTAAATTCTCCCCTCTTTCAATTCCAGGGCCACAAGCCACATTTGGTGCTGAAAAGACAGAGCTGAGTAAGTGCCATGCAATTCTTTCCCCAGGGAGACCATTCCAAAACTGGGGTTGCACAACCAAAAAATAAAAAATAAAAATCTTTCCTTTGGATGCTTTCTCAGTGACTGGGCAGTTTGCATGCAATGGAAGATGTTCTTTAAAATAACTTGATCCTAGGTTGTGTGAAAGTAGTTGAAAGCTGATGATGACCCTAAGTCACCCTGTTATCAACAGCTCTGCTCAAGTCTTGCAGACTCAAAGATGTGACTTCCTGGATTGAATCTATTCACCTAAAATTTGCACTTCCTATTTTCCTAGTGCTTTCTGCCTTACTAAACATTATTGTTTTCTAATGAGTCATGTCTTATCATATGTTCAAAGCACAACAGTCAGTTTAGTCATCTTGGCTTCTAAGGTAAGTTGCTCTAATACCCATTTGTCATTTTTTCAGTACATGATATCCATAGAACCCTTATCCGGCACCACATTTCAAATGAGCCCACACTTCTATCAGGCTTCTTCACTTTCCGTCTTTCACAACCATAAACAGAAATCAGAAATACAATAGCACAGACAATCCTAATTATGTTATTGAATGATATATCTTTACTCTTGAGGATCTTATTTAGTTCTTTCATGTCTGCCCTTCCACAAATCAGGTGGCCACTACTTCAAATGTTACCTGTGCCATGAACCCTTGAGGTACCTTTAGGCTGGTGTTGTTGATAAATAAATGCTGTGATGTAGTATTCCCCCCCCCCCCCCGCAAGCCAGTATGGTGTAATGGTTTGAATGTTGGACTACTATTCTGGAGACCAGGGTTCAAATCTCTGCTCAGCCATGAGATTCTACTGGGTGACCTTGGGCAAGTCACCCTCTCTCAGCCTTTGAATGAAAACTGTGTTAGGCTCATCTTAGGGTTGCCATAAGTCAAAAATGTCTTGAAGGCACACAACATACTTTTTGAGGTTAGTTTGAAGATGCTTATTGCACTCACAATACAAAATGCAATCTACCTATTCTCTTCTCTCTCTCTCCCAAACTTCTCTCTCTTTCACTCTCTTTTTTCCCCCCCTTCTGGTGTGATTTTCCCTGAAATGGCTTAATAGGAAACCCATCTTTCATTTCCTATAATGTATCCATTAGAGTTAATTCCATGTAGTGTTATTCTTTGTAGCTGGCACGTTCCTCTTTACTGGTAATTAGCTTGCTACTCAGAATGTGGTGTCTTTTGATATAGATTTTTTAAAAAAACTTCTTCAAAAGAATAAATAATCCGACTTTGTGTGCCTGTGTTGTTTGTAACACATAATTGCATTAGCCTACATATCAAGGGCAAGGGGGAGAAAAAAAATCAAGTTTTTCAGAGAACAGTTTCACTGGCACATGGAAGAAGATAAAATTACTGTGACTGAGTGAAAAAGAAAAGGGCACTACAATAAAGGAGAAGATTCTTTATATTTTAATGGGGATGGGTCAAATAAACAAAGAGTGAATAGACAAACCTTTCTGGACTCCATTTGGTGCTGTTGCAATCTTCAGAACACTTAAGAAAGCAAACTGACTTTAGGAATCATTCTTGGAGAAACTATTCTCTTTTGAAAGGTGAGGTGACAATGATCAGATCCAGAACTAGGGCTGGAGGAGGAATTTGCTTGTTCCACACTTCCTGAGTTACGATGGAAATCCTCACTTGCTTTATTTTCAAATTTGTGGACGAGAAGCTTTGTGACTTTTCTGTTCACCTTAGTGACAACAAGCAAACACCTGTCCTTTTGGTCTAAGAATGCTCATAATTAAAAGGAAAAAAGTGCAAATCATGCAATAATGCATTTATATAGGAGCCCTGGTGGCACAGTGCTTAAATGTTGGCACTGCAACCACAACGTTGTGAATTTGATCTCAGGGCTCCAAAGTTGACTCAGCCTTCCATCCTTTCATTGGTTGGTAAAATGAGTACCCACCTTGTTGGGGGCAATTGGCTTACAGATTGTAAACTGATTAGAGAGTGCTGAGTTCACTATGAAGCAGTATCAAAATGTAAATGCTATTGCCATATTTATTTATTTATTTATTTTGCTGATATGTCACCTTTCTTCCCAAGTGGGAACCAAGGCAAATTACAAAACGAATAAACTAAATTAAACTCTTTCCTAAAGAACTTTTTCCTTAATTGCATCTCATCATGGGCTGTTTTGGTAGCTCTTATCCTTCCCTGTGGACCCACCTGGCATAAAATATTTTTCTTCCACTGCTCTGAGGCAGCGGAGAACTGGCATAGCCAACTCATTCATTGGTATGCAGACAGAGGCCTTCCAAGGAAACAGGGAGCTTCAAAGCAAAGGGAGATATTTGCTGTGCTTTTTGTGTGTGTGTGTGCCAACAGAAAAAAGAAGATACTCTCCCAGCTCAAACTCTTTTAATTGGGTTTTCCAGTGACTGTGCCTGGAGAATAAACAGGAGGGAATCTGGAGAATTTGATTGAGGACCAAGTGTTTGAGGCCAGTCAGAAAGTAAAGCCATGTGGGCACTAGAAAAAAAAATGGGTTGGGATTTAGATGGGACATTGTAATATTTTAGGGAGCTGAGCTGTGTCCCACATGTTAAAATTTCTGAAAGAAAAATGATTGTATGTTTCACATTAAAACTAACACCCTAAATCTGCTGTCTCTGCTAAAAAGCCATTACAAGCTTTTGAGTTCCCCTTATCCAAAATGCTTGGGACCAGAAGTGTTTGGGATTTTAGATTTTTTTCCTGGATTTTGGAATACCTGTATTTTCATTTACATACATAATGAGATATCTTGGAGATGGGGCCCAAGTCTAAACACAAAATCCATCTATGTTTCACATATTATGTTACCATATACATATATTATGTTACCCTGAAGGTAATTTTATACAATATTTTGAATAGTTTTGTGCATGAAACAAAGTTTGTGTACACTGAACTGTCAGAAAGCAAAGGTGTCACTGGCTCAATCACCCATGAAAAAAAATCTTTTAAAAAATTGGATTTTGGAATTTCAGATAAAGGGAGATTCAACCTGTACTTGATTAGATTATAAACGCTGTCATCATATTAATGACTTACATAGATGTAAGTCCCTCTACAGAAGAAGCTGGACATTTTTGTCCATTGCAGGAGTCAGTATGTAGTGGGAAGTTGTGGAAGCAGAGTTGCAACTTCAAATTATCAACTTCAAATTACAGTAAGGAAAATGCAAATTATAATAAGGAAAATGCATTCACTCAAGGTGTCTGGAGTTATCAAGTGCCAATGCAAGGTAAAGTCATTATATAAGGGGTAGACCAAAGTATGGTTGCCATAAACTGTTCTGGGGCCACATCAATTTCCTCTTTCTTAAAGATGTCCCCAAACTTTTTAGATGTAGGGGCATATTTTATTCCTCGCTCTCTTCATCTTCAGTTACATTGCTCTTCATATATGGACACTGATTATTCTTCAGAGGAGAGCTTTCCCTACACATGAATGCTCTCCATGTGACTGGAATGAAATAAATTCCCATTCCCCAGAGAAAAATATAAGGTACTAGATTTAGGAGTAAAAATGAAATACACAGATATAAGATGGATGACACCAGGCTTGACAACAGTATATGTGAAAGGGGTCTAGGAGTCACAACAGTACATGTGAAAGGGATCTGGGACCACAAGCTGAACTTGAGTCAGCACTGTGATGCAACAGTTAAAAAAGGCCAGTGCAATTCTAGGCTGCATTAATAGGAGTATAGTATTTAGATCGAGGAAAATAATGCCACCTTGAGTCCCTGTATTGGGAAAAAGATGGGATATAAGAAAAGAAAATAATAAATGAGAATAATAAGTAATGGTGCCACTGCTCTGGTTACACCTCACATGGAATACTGTGTCCAGTTCTGGGCACCACAATTCAAAAAGGATGTTGACAAGCTGGAGCATGTCCAGAGAAGGATGACCAAAATGGTGAAGGGCCTGGAAATCATGGCCTATGAGGAGTGGCTTAGGGAGATGGGTATGTTTGCCCTGGAGAAGAGAAGGTTAAGGGGTTATGTGATAGCCATATTTAAATATTTGAAGAGATGTCATTTTGAGGATGGAGCAAGCTTGTTTTCTGCTGCTCCAGATATTAGGGCACAGGGCAGTGTCCTACAAGCTACAGGAAAAGAGATTCCATTATTATTATTATTATTATTATTATTATTATTATTATTATTATTATTATTATTCCATCTTAACATTAGAAAGAACTTTCTAGTGGTATGAGCTATTCAACAGTGGAAAATGCTTCTCTCGATTGTGGTGGAGTTTCCTTCTTTGGAGGTTTTTAAACAAAGACTGTGTGGCCCTGCTTTGATTATATATTCCTGCATGTCAGGGGTTAGACTACATGGCCCTTGTGGTCTCTTCCAACTCTATGATTCTATGAAATGAGGAGTCCTCAATCCCATGGAGAGCTTCCATGCCTAGAAAAGGCTCTTTTATTCATGATCATTGTTCTCCACATGAACAGTTTGGCAGAATTGGAGATAGCTCACCCCTTTCTCATGTTTTGATTCAACAGACTTTTTGACTAAGGTAATAGTTTTACTATCTTGATGCAAGGACTCCTTCAAGTTGCTATTCCCTTCATTGATGTCACTAGCAGCTTCCCTCTTGGTTAGAAAGTTCAAGAATTTTATTGAGATTGCAAGAAGCATTAAATCTCATTTGGTACATGCTTTACTTCCAGATGTTGATAAACCTGTGCCTCTTCCCTAGATGCTATTAATTTTTTATATATATATAGCAGACACAAGAGAAGTGCCTTTGTATTTCATGGATGGCCATCTGTCAGGGATGCTTTGATTGGGAGTTCCTGCATGGCAGGGGGTTGGATTGAATGGCCCTTGTGGTCTCTTCCAAGTCTATGATTCTATGATTCTATGAAGCATCTAGTTTTAACCTCATTTTAAAATGTTTTGATCAGCATCACTGAGTAGTATCAAGAAGCCAGGGCTGGCAGGATCAAAGTTCAAATGACTACTTCATTAGCAGTGATGAGACCAGCTGCCATCTCTTTCAGGCTTTCTTGTACTTTGTGAGATGGTTTGTTTGTTTGTATTCCCCCTGAGTTTAGCTTCAATCAAACACCCAAAAAGGGACTTTCCCAGCCACAATATGTTACTACAAGCTATCCCCATTCCAGTACAAAATATAGAGAATGGGGAACAGTATTACCTTGAAGGGGCAATTTAAGACCCATTTTCTTTACAAAAGACCCATTTCTGGTGGAGATGCATGCTAGTAAAAATAGTTGTCATTATAAATTAAAAATACCCATGCTTTAGATGGACCTAGCTATAGAGAAGGATCTCAAAGAATGCCTGCCCTTTAACATTTGCTACTTTGCCACATTTGTCCATTTTTTGAGCCACAGGGTCTACCAGGAATATATATATTTCCCATTTTTTTATATATAAAAAATAAATAAATTGTAAAATGCTCCAAAATGGCCTGTAGAAGATGTGGAAGGTATTCTCACCACATCTTCCCAGGGATCAAAAATGCAAATAAGTAAAAATACATAAATAATAAATAAATAAAAATAAAAAATCTGCTCCCAAATGCCTTCTAGGGGGCTAGGAAGAGCTCAAAACATATTGAGAAGGGCAAAAATTATCTTTTAGAATGGGAATGTGTACACTGGGGGTGGAGCTCTCCAGGATAACCGGTGGGGGGGGAATAATGCAGCCCTCTAGCCTTCTACAGTTGCCCATCCCTAGCCCAAGCAATGGCTTGTAAAAAGAGATGGGCAACAATAATGTGTAAAAATCAGCAGGACATTGTCTATGCCTCATG